TATTTCCAAATGATTTGTATCCTCATTACACTCTAAATCTTGACTGACTATTCAAATATACATGAAAAATCCAGTTTTATTTTCATGGTTCTAGTGTTTTCATGGGAGCTACAGGTAGGAGGAAAACACCTATTTCTCTCTTTTTCTCTCTGAAAGATCAATAAATCCAATTTAATTAATTAGTCAATGCTACAAATGGTATTTTGTTTTTCTTTGGCCTCTAGAGTGTGCAGTAATCAGGAACACCGTACGACAGTGTCAGGCAGGGTCTTGCCAGATATGAAAGGTTCAATTCTTTGCTGTTCCTTAGCCTCTTTATATTCTAGACTTACATCACTCTTAATAAAGAACTTTATTAAAAAACTTCAAATAATTTAGGTCTTTAGAAATCAACATTAGTATATCTCTAGGACACACCTCTGCTTTCTTGTCAAACTCCACTTCATGTGGGAAAGTGGGGGAGGAGGTAGGTTTAATGTTTCGGAGACCTTGAGAAGTGAGGCATTCAGTGACTTTGGTATAAGAACCATAGTGGAGAATCTGTTTCTCTACAGTTTTAAGATTCTATGGAGGAAAATCTTACTTAGAAGTGGTTTTTAACTTTTGGGTTTAGTCTAGGATTGGAAATATATTAGATACTTGTTTTCAGGCAATAGAAACTAACTCTGGCTAACTCAAACACAAAAAAGGAGATATATCATTAGAAGCTTGTGGAATCTAGGGGAGAGCCAAATTACCAATACTTACAGGGTAATATAAAGCCTTGCTCAGAGGTTTAAGAGTTGAAGCAACAGAAAACTGTGCCAAAGTTTACTTTTTTATAGCAAGCAAAAACTACTCAGAAAAATTTTGCAGAAAAATTGGAAAGTAAGAATTGGTCATTTTCTCCTAGATATTAAAACAAAAGGTGAAAAATAAAAACCTGGTAGTTATATTAATACTTAGAGTAAAATTAAACACTTACTGTGGGCTCCTGGGTGGCTCTGTTGGTTAAGCATCTGAAGACCTCAGCTCAGCTCATGATCTCACGGTTCATGAGTTCAAGCCCCACAACAGGCTCTTTGCTGTTAGCATGGAATCTGCTTTGTATCCTCTGCCTGCCTTGCTCTCTCTGCCCTTCCCTGCTGGTGTTCTCTAAACAAACAAACAAACAAACAAACAAACAAACTTAAAAAAATTAAGCTCTTACTAAAATAGCCATTTGTAGTGGGTTTTTTTGTTTGTTTTTTGTTTTTTTTTAATGTACCAAGCTCTTTGTTCCCTAGGGGGTTAGTTTTTCTGATCAAATCTATCATCCTTTTTTTCTAGATGGTTTTTCATTCTTTTATTCTGAGAGTGGCTTTCCCTATTTAAATATTGTAGAATATACTTAAATATTGAAAGTATGTTTTTGATTCGGTGGATTCATTTTTTCTTTTTCCTGTCTCCAAATACTCCCTTTAGTAATGATGGCTCAATTAGGCTATAGTTCTTACGGGTTGTAAGGAGATATGATTAGCACTGTCCTTCCCAGGTTGTTCTGATACTTAATGTCTTAGATCAGATTGCTATAAGAAAACACTATGGACTGGGTGGCTTAAACAGCAAATACTTATTTTTCACAGTTTTGGAGGCTGAGAAGTACAAGATCAAGGTGCAGATTCCGTTCTTGGTGAGGACTCTTTCCTGACTTGTATGTAGACAGCCACCTTCTTGATTTGTGCTCACATGGTGGAAAGAGAGAGAGCTTGCTTCTTTTTCTTATAAGGACATTAATGTCACCATAGGAGCTATACCTTCATGACCTCCTATAAACTTGATTACCACACAGGGGCCCCATCTACAGATATTATCACTTTAGAGATTAGGACTGCAATATAAAGATTTTGAAAAGTGCAAATACTCAGTCTGTAACATTTCCCTTACCCTATCTCTTCTTTACTTTTACCTCAGGAGGATATAATTCTGTTTATTTTTATTTTTAATTTGCTTTTGTTATGAGCATTGCTTATTATACATGATTTTGACATCACAGAGGAACAAAAAGTAAAAACTGATAGTTCTTTCCTTAATCCTCAGTATCCCACTTCCTAAGAATAACTAACATTATGCGCCAGAATATACAAAGTTATTGTCAGTATATATGAAGATATATGTAGCTGTTTCTTACATTTAGATATTCAGTCCGTGTGTGTGTGTGTGTGTGTGTGGTAGCACGTGCATGTGTGTTTGTGTGTTTAGTGTGAAGCAGGGTTCTGTTTCCTAGTAATTAGCTCTTATTAGCATCTTGACTCATTATTTATCTACTCATAGAAAATACTTTGTTATATACCAATACCATTATATATATATATGTGTGTGTGTGTGTGTGTGTGTGTATGTATATATATGCAGTTTCTGTATTTTAAGTTGTATATATGTATATATATGTGTATATATATATTCAGTATATATATATGTATATGCATTTGTGTACTTTAAATTATTTTCAGATACTAATGGTATTTTTTATTTTTACTTTAGTATTTTTATCTAGTGTTTATTTAGTATGTTTATTATTTTACTTTAGTATTTCTCCTCCCTCCTACTGGGCCATTGTTGTTTTTGAAATACTTCTTAGCTGTTCCCTAGTCCAGTTTCAAGAATTTTTATTAGTTTTCACTGTAATTGCATTGAATTTGTTTGTTAGTATGGGGAGATAGGATGTCCAAGTAGTATTGTTTTCCTATAGGAACATGGCATATCTTACATTTATTCATATCATTTGCTCAGATTTATAGGTTCTTTATACCTTTATTCATGGGTGTTTGGAATGTTAATGTTTGCAAATATTGTAATTTTCTACAATAAATTTGTAATGGTTATCACCTCTTATACCATGTTGTATAATTTTTAGGGGCGCCTGGGTGGCTCAGTCGGTTGAGCGTCCGACTTCGCTCAGGTCATGATCTCACGGTCCGTGAGTTCGAGCCCCGCATCAGGCTCTGTGCTGACAGCTCAGAGCCTGGAGCCTGCTTCAGATTCTGTGTCTCCCTCTCTCTCTGGCCCTCCCCCCGTTCATGCTCTGTCTTTCTCTGTCTCAAAAATAAATAAATGTTAAAAAAAAAAAATTTTTTTTAAAAATAATATTTATACATTTTGCATGTTTATATGCACCCATATGATTCTACTAGCCCTTTATTTGGCCTTCTTCTTCTTCTTTTTTTTTTTTTTTTTTTTTTTTTTTTTTTTTTTTTTTTTTTTACCTCATTGCACTGGGATTTCCAATGAATAGTGGTAATGATACTGTGCCATTTTGTCTTCATCTTTTTTTAGTAGCAGGCCTTCTTCTATTTTAGTGTAATGATGGCCACTGATTTAAGAAAAATCCATTTTATTATTAAGAATCCTTTTCTTGGTTGTTAGATTTTTTTTTTTAATCAGATAATGAACATTAAATTTTATTGAATGCCTTTTCAGCATCAAATGAGAAAGTCAATGTGAGCTTTCAGTGTTGTAAATAGTTTAAAATATCCTTACATTCTTGGAATATCCTACTTGGCCATTGTGTCTTTTTTTTTTTTTCATAGAAAGATGGGTATTATTTCATAATATGTGAAAATTTTAATATTCATAAATTGCTCTTTTATTTATATATTTTCTGGTTTAGTACCAGGCTTATGATAGCTTGCTGAAATACATTATAATACTTTATATGTCTTGGTTTAATTTTAAAAGCTTAGAAATTATCTATACTTGAAAGCATGATAGAGCACAATAAATTTGGGAGACTTGATACTTTTTGGTGGCAGTGGTTAAATAAAACCTTTTTCTTCCATAGCTGTTACGTATAGTCACTGAGAAATGTCAGTCCTTTTTTTTAATACCTTCAGTCATCTCTTGGATGACACAGTTTGCTCTCTTGTTTCTTTATTATTTGTTTTTATTCGTTTAGGTTTGGATGATACAGTTTGCCTGTCTCTTTACTTATATTTTACTTATTTATTTATGGTTTTTTTTTCCTCCCAAAAAGGGCTCATGGAAATAATATTGTGTAAAGTTTTTGTTGTTGTTTAGAACTGTTTGAACATGTTTAAAACACATTTTTTGTGGTTATGTTTTAGGTGATACGCTCTACATTTTTAGATTCATTTAAAAATATTAATTGGACATAGCTCTACATTTTAAAGATACTATTTATATAATATATTGTTTATCCAGTTTCCATGTTTGAGTGTTTACGTTGGTTTACTTCTGAATTTGAATATTTATTTTGTCAGGAGACATGTGAGTTATAAGCTCTCCAAGGGCTTGTATATATGTTCAAATATACTTGTCAACAAGCAGCATCTTGCTTGAGTTTCGTTTTCATAAATATTAGTCTTATTTCTCTTAAAATAATTTAGATTTGGTTCATTGCTTTCAGGAAGGAAATCAGCATTATAGGGGAAAAGTTTGATGTCTTTTTTTTTAACTTTTGCTTGTGGAATTTTTTTTCCTCATGAAATGGAAAAAATTGATTTCATATTTATATAAATGTTGTTTTAATGAATGTTTTCTGGTAGTTAGTTAATATCTTAAGTTTTCTATAGATATTTTTGATAGAGGGACCCTCTAGAGGAAGACAGTTTGGTATTATATTTGGTTCAACAGATCCTGCATGTAGTAGTTATCTATTGCTAACTAACAAATAGGGCTGGGATCTCATCCAAAGGCTTGCCTGGGAACTGATCTTCCAAACTTATTCTTGGCCCAATCTAGCACTTTTTCCTTCCACTACAGCCATACTGGCAGGTATTTGATTTATTTGAGAGTCACTCTTTGGATTTAACATTCAGCCCTGAAAACATCTACCTCTTTTGAGTCCTTCCTGTTACTTATTCATAAACATGTGTGCGCACGTGCACGTGCTCATGGGCATGTGAGCACCTGTAGAAGGGGAAGTGGGAGAGACAGAGGGAAACAGGAAGGAGGTGGGAGGAGAATGATCAGATGTTAGTATAACTTATTTCCATTTTAAGAACTATTTTTTTCCCCCATAGGTGCCTTAGCTGGGCCAATTATTGTGGAGCCACATGTCACAGCAGTATGGGGAAAGAATGTTTCATTGAAGTGTTTAATTGAAGTAAATGAAACTATAACACAAATTTCATGGGAGAAGATCCATGGCAAAAGTTCACAGACTGTTGCAGTTCATCATCCTCAGTATGGATTCTCTGTTCAAGGAGAATATCAGGGAAGAGTCTTGTTTAAAAACTATTCACTTAATGATGCTACAATTACTCTACATAACATAGGATTCTCTGATTCTGGAAAGTACATATGCAAAGCTGTTACATTCCCGCTTGGAAATGCTCAGTCTTCTACAACCGTAACTGTATTAGGTAGGTATGCTTGAATTACATATTTTGGTGGTAGTGGCAAGGATTATAATACAAATATTTCAAGAATTTAAAATGATTGAAAAAATATATATATAGTTTCTAAATGATTCAAATATGATTTTTCAAGTTCTGTCTTACAATTCTGTAATTCTAGCCTCTCTTAATTTAAACAAAATTTTGTCTGTATCTACCCTACCCATTTATGTGATTCTGTGTGGTTCTTAGCTATTTTCCTTTCTTCATGAAAGATTATTTTTTATGTATAATACTAAGTGTTGAGTGTTTTTGACATTTTCAGTGTTCTCAAATTTTCTAACTTTAAATTACCATCTTTAAATAAGCTTTTCCATTTATTTAAATGTTCATTGTCTTAGAGCTCATTGATACACCTCATGTTTGTTTCTGAAATCAAATTTTATTTCTGCTCCTGTGGATTTCATAGCTGTTGGAATCTTGGGCTGTTGATTGTAATGAACAATCTTCTGCCTTTTTCTGATAACTGTTAGAATCTATGGTGGAATTTAAAATGAGCTTATTAACCACTTACAGTGAAAGGACAGTAGTTTGGAAATACTGGTTTATACTTTTGGAATAACAGAATAAGGATTAAAGAGTAATAGCAACCTGAGCCATTTCCACCCAGAATAGTACTCCTTTAACAGGAGGTCTTTGCTCTGCATCTACCTGTTTGCCCACCTGCTGATAGCAACTCTCCTCAGTCCTCCTTCACTTTCCTTCCAGATGTTAAATGCTCATAAAAACTGTTTGTACTCCTTAGTTGGTCTTAGTTCCAGCTTTCAGAGAGACAAAAAAAGTAACTAGCCCCTGGTATTTAAAGGCATAATTTCAGGGTCTCTGAAATGCAGGAAAGCAGTTTTTTCCAACTTTGGTAGATATTTTTTCATGTTTGGAGATACTATTTAAAAATAGAAATGAAACTAACTTCTTGAAGACTTGATATGTTTGTAATACTGCCCTAACAGCTGTGGGGATATGTAACTCACATTAATGAAATTGATACTTTTGAGGAATGTTTGATTAGAAGGCAAGGCATAAATATCTGAAAAATCAAGTGCAGGCCATCAGGGTAAAAAAGGTCCCAACAAAAGTTCAGTATCTAGAAAGTAATAGTTTATGTGTGGAAGAGGGAGCTCATGCGAATAAACTTTTTTTTGCTTTAAATTTTAGTAATTCCCCCTGAATTAATACAATATTCAGTGGTTTAAAACTCAAGACTGTTTATGACAAGACTAGTCACGATTTTACCCATGCCTATATCTCTAGCTTCTTCTGTTCCATCCCTTTCTTCACTTTTCCTACAACCCAAATTTAATAATCATGATAAACTATTTGCAGTTCTGGTAATACCTGTTTATGTTTTACATGTGTTTTTCTTTCTGGTTGGATTGCCTTTTTCTTCCTGTCTCTCTCCTCCTACGTTCTTCTATTTAACTGCTATTCGTCAGACCACATCCTTTTAGAAGCCATTGTTGAAATATATAACCCCTTGCAATTTGATGTTTTTCTCTTTTGGCTCTTTTGCCATTGTATCTTGAGCTTGTCTATTGCAGCAGTTTCCACACTGTTTACTATGTGTTTTCTCTAGAAACACATGGTGGACTGCAACTATGTACCTTAAAATTTAACTTTATCTAAAGCCTACAAGGGTTCCTAGTATATAGCAGTCATGCCCTTTTAAATGTTATTTAAGTAGAGGATAGGGATGGATTGGTGAGCTTTTTAGTCTACAGAGGTGGTGTAGAAAAAAAAATAGTTGAGTCAGCTTTGAATTTTGGGTAGGTTTTGGGTAAGAAGAAGGGAAATAAGTGTAGGGAGAACAAGTGAGCCAGTGTAGGGAGGCAGAAAACAATACACATTTGGGCAGTTTTTTAGTGTCAACATTGGTGACATTTTGGGCTGAAATTCTTTGTTGTAGTGAGCTGTCCTGTCCATTGTAGACTGTTTGGCAGCATCCATGACCTCTGCGCACCAGATGGCTAGTAGCAGTCCTTCAGTTATGACAACTGAGAATGTCTCTAGACATTGCCGGGTGTCCTCTGGGAGAGAAGAGAGGAGAGATCACTTACTGTTGAGAACCCTCATTAGTGGAACCACTGAATAATTTGTTGATTGCTTATAGGATTTATATAAAGCACAAGAATTAAAGACTAGAGAGTTGAGTAGGATTGCATTAAAGTAACTTGAAGGTTAGGATGGGAAATTTGAGCTTTGTATTACTGGAAATGCCAAGTTAGTGTAAGGTACTGTGCTTGCCTCCCTTTTTCTACTCTCAGACTCTTGTTGTGTAAAGTATGGTTCCTGAACCAGCAGCATTGGTATCACTTGGGAGTTTGTTAGAAATACAGAATTTCAGGCCCCTCCCAGACTTAATGAATGGTAAGTCTACATTTTAGCAGAATAGCTAAATGATTCATATGCAGAGTAAAGTTTGAGAAGCACAGCTTTCACTGTGCTTATAGGGATACTTAATTCATAGTAGACTTGATTTAGGGAGTAATGTGGTGAAAATTGTGATTTATGAAGATCGGTCTGGTGTTTTTGATGGATTGAAATGAAGAAGTCCCAAAATCATAATCCTTCAGCCATGAGGACATGAAGACTTGAAATTAATTTTCTAATTTCTGCCACTTGAGGAAAGAAGGAAGCTATTATATAGGAATAACTGTCAGGACTTTCTAACTGATTGGATACAAGAAACAAGGGAGCTTTGAGCATAACAGGTTTTGAACCCTCATGATTGAATAAGTTATGTTACTGTTAACTCCAGTGGGCGTGTCTGAATGAAAACCAGGTGTTGAGGTTGGGAGGCTAAGATAATGAGTTCAGCATTTGTTTTATTGAGTTTGAGGATATATAGGCAAAAAATACTAGTTGGTAGTTAGAAACTGTGGAGTCAAGCCCTGTATCAAAATTGAATTAGAGATCATCTGGATAATAGTGTATATCAGATGAAAGTTTTTAATTAAGGCAGATGCAAAAAGTAACTGAAGGCCCCCAGGACCCAGTATTTATTAAGGCAGAGGTTAGAAGAAACAAAGAGAGCTTTGAGAAAAACTCGGGCAAAGTAATACTACTTACATGATGACAAGATAAAATTTTTAAGATTACTCTAGCAGCTTTTACCACAGGGAGAATTAAGCCCTACAGACATGATATGAATAACCATTTTTTTCAGTTTTCCTAAGGATGGTGCACAGCTAGTATCATTCTAAATGCATAGCCCAGAAAGTAATTCATTACTTACAGCAGATACTTTAAGGCATTAGTACTTAGTTCTTTGGGAAATGAATGTGAAGAACTGCACCAAAATATCAAATTCTGTGAAGTTAGTCAAAGAAAATAGGCATGCAAAAATATTGAGCCTGTAGTTTATGTGGTGACCTTAGAGTCTCAGTGCAGTGGTAGTAATAGAACCCAAATTAAGGGAATGTGATATAACAAAAAACCTTTGGGAAAATTTAACAAGTGTCCCATAGTTGATTACTATGTACCTAGTTGATTACTTGTCTTGATGGGATATTACATAGTTGTTGGAATTATGGTTAAGAAAAGTGTTGCTGCTTGGGGGGGGGGGGGAAGCAAAAAATATATATCCAGATAGAAACTAGAAAAAGAAATAAAGAGAAGTGGAAGAAGGTGAAAATGACTGCATTAGGATATTGTAGTTGTGGATAATTTTCTCGTTTTTCCAATTTTTAGAAATACTGCTTTTGCAGTAAAAAAAATTCCATTGCTGTGCATGATGGAATGACAGGGACTGGATTTACCCTCTCTCTAAGAACAAGAAACCAGGCAAATAAGAAAGTTTTTAGTCATTGGACAATAGGCAGTGTAGGATTATGATCCCTGAAAGAAGGAAAACAAAGCGAGTCCCTACAGTGTTCTAGCTTCCTCTTTAGGCAGTTTCCAGGCTACAGCTCACTGACAAGGATTTGAAGCAGAGAATGATGGTTTCAGGGAGAGTAAAAGAGACATTGGAGTTCAGGGAGGACAAGTGACTAGAATTTGTGGAGGAGAATACTGGAAAGCAGAGAGCATCAGAGAGAGAGAGAGAGCGTGCTTTAGAGATCTACAGAAGGGCACTCTCAAGTCTTTTTGGTTTAGTACTGATCTGTGTATGTGTGAGAGGAAACTTTTGAGGTGGAGGAAAGAACCAGCAGAAAGCAGTAGGTCTAACCAACAATTCTGGTGTTCACACAGGGCTGGGAAAACTTCATATTCTCCCCATTCAGAGTACAGAAGGGCATTGGTAGAATCTTAAGAGGAAGCAACAGCAAAAGTGCTAGACAGGGAAGGGTACAGAGAAGTTAACTAAAATATTGAGGTATATGAGAAAAGTAACTTCAGAAAGCCAATACAATCTACAACTAGGAGATTTATTCCCTTCATAGGAGACAAAAATAGCAGTTTAAAATTGACTTTAAAATAATTTTTTAAAGCTCCTCAAAGATAAAAGCTTCTATTAATGATGGCATAAGTTATTCAGACCAACTCTCCCATAGGAGGGATGCAGTATAAAATACCACCGAAAGCTTCAAAGAGGTAAGAATATAGTGAGAAATCTACCTAGACCAAAATCTAGGAGAAGGTAAAAACAGAAATAAGCCTAGTACTGAAAGCTGCATTCCACCTGAGGGCTTCTGAGAATTCAGAAGAAACACCTGAGATTTTGAGATTTTTGAGAGCCTTGAGAAAACAGAGACAAACTTCTAAGTGTAGTTTTGCTCAAGATGGGATGTCTAGTAACCCTTCTTTTATTCACTTGGTATCCAAAGCTTACATTTTTCAGAATAGTAGTAAACTAGAAGTAAACCAGCCTTCTTACAGACTTCTAGGTTTATGATTACCTGAGTGGTCTGATTTTTAAAAAAAATTTTTTTTAATGTTTTTATTTTTGAGAGAGAGAGCATGCAAGCGGGGAAAGGGCAGAGAGAGAGAGAGAGACACACACACAGAATCCAAGCTGTTGACACGGAGCCTTGACACAGGGCTTGAACCCACACTCAACTGACAGAGCCACCCAGGCGCCCCTGAATGGTCTGATCTTAATAAGTTCAGGAGATCCTAGACTGCTTAGAGATTTCAGGAGATCGGTAGAAGAAAAGTCCAATCTTTTCTGGTCTGGAAGAAAACTACCTTATTTTAGACCCCGGATTATTTCTCTCTCAATTATTCAGACACAGGCATATAGTTTCCTTGAGTAGGCAGGCATACAAGTAAAGAAAACCCCACAAGCAGCAGCCAGCACAAATCAGACAATAGAAACAGACCTGCAAAGATACAAGATGTTGGAGTTATCAGACACAGACTATGAAACAGCATCACTTAACATTTGAAGAGATAAGTCAGTCTATAAAATTTCTGCAGAGAAGAAATTATTTAAATTTTTTTTTTCAACGTTTATTTATTTTTGGGACAGAGAGAGACAGAGCATGAACGGGAGAGGGGCAGGGAGAGAGGGAGACACAGAATCGGAAACAGGCTCCAGGCTCCGAGCCATCAGCCCAGAGCCCGACGCGGGGCTCAAACTCACGGACTGTGAGATCATGACCTGGCTGAAGTCGGACGCTTAACCGACTCGCCACCCAGGCGCCCCATGAGAAGAAATTATTTAAAAAAATACATAATAATTTGCCTTGAAGTAGAGAAGTAATTTTTAGCATATAAAAGCAGTTAACCATAAAAGGTAACTGAAAACTGATAAATTTTGGTACATTTGAATTAAAAATTTCTGCTTACCAAAACACATTGTAGAGCAAAAAGATCCTAAACCAGTAGAGGGTATTTTTTTTTAGCATATATCATCAAAAAAGGGCTCTTTTCCCAAATCAGTAAGTAAAAGCAATTGGTTTTAATAGGCATTTTGCAGAAGAAATTCCAAATAGCCTATAACATGAAAAGATCCTTAACCTCATTCATAATGTGAGAAATTAAAAATACAGTCTTGATGATAATATGATATATACATACAAGATTCACAAACATTGGGAAGTCAGTATCAACTTGTAGTGAGTCTTTGGACCAAGAGGAGCTCTAATATTGGGAGTAATTTGGTACCTTAAAAAGCTTTTTTGGCATTATCTGGTAAAATTGAAAATAAAAATAGTACTAATTCCACTATAAGGGACAGACTAGAGAGGCATCTGCACAAATATGCCAAGGTACATGAATGAGAATGTTTCTTATAAAATTGTTTACTCCAAACAGGAAACTGTGCCAATGTCCAATGGTAAATAAACCGTACAGCAGTTAAAATTAATAATTTATACTATTGCATGTAAATTTAAATGATCTAAAAATTAAAAGTTAAAAAAATGAATTCCAAAATAATAAACTAAGGCTAATTGTTCTCAAATAAATTAATCTCAGGAACACAAAGTTGAGTCAAAGAAAAACTGTTACAAAAATGCATATAGTCCAATACTATTTGTGTAAAGTTCAGAAATAGGTAAAATGCAACTGTTTTTAGGTTTGCATGTGTTGCTTGTAGACCTATCATGAAAAGTAAGCAAAAATATATTTCCAATAATGGATTCATACTTGGGCCAGTAGGTGTCAAGGTCAGGAAGAGGCATGTTGAGGAACTTGGGAGGTGCTATTTTTTTTTTTTTTTTTATTAAGATGTATGGTGGTTACATAGATGTTTACTATAAAGTGTTCATTACATGTGTTGTATGTACTTTTCCCATTGCTATTTTACAGCAGTACATCTTGTAAAATACATAGGGAAATACGTAAGGGAAATATCAATACGCCTTGAGGTAATTATGAAACAAAAAAAATAGATACAAATCAAGAACAGATGGCACTGAAAGAACTAGTTGGAAATTTTGGAAATGAATAAAAGTTATTGGGATAAAAATTTAATGTACAGAATAAGCTATAGGCTTGCGCCAAATAATTCCTGAAGTGAGATGAGGAATTTATACAGAAAGAAGCACATAAAATTTGCTGGAAAATGTGAAGAGATAGTTAGTATAATGGAAGGTAGATTGAAAGGGCCTAAGCATTAAGGTTAGTTTTCACCTGCTGAGGAGCTTTCTTATACTAGAAAAAGGTAATGTCATCTACATTCTAAGCATAACTATTATTGACATTATACTTTAACAATGTAGGTTCCATACTGGTAACTTAATTTATATTTTCTGTAAACATTTTTGCTGCAAAATGAAGCTGTGTGTCTAAAAACTACATTTTTCCCCCTTGCAGAGTGATACTACTTACAATCTCATAATGGAAATTATGATCCAACTTACAGGACATTTTCATATACTAACTGGGGAGAACTCATCGGTCCCTATAAAGAAAAATGTATCTCTGCTAGGGAGAACCGTCTTCAAGATTATAAAGTCTTGCTTAGCTTCTTGTTTGCCTTGGCTTATGATCCTCTCTTGTTCCAAGAATCCAGTTGATGTTGGTATTACTTAAAAGTGTGTGTGTAGATTTTATAGGCCTTTGCTTCTAAGTTTATGAAATATGGTTAGATATGGCTTGGAAGCATGTAAATATATTCTTAATTGAAATGTAACTACTTTTTTTTTTTTTTTTAATTTAAACAGTTGAACCCACTGTGAGCCTGATAAAAGGGCCAGATTCTTTAATTGATGGAGGAAATGAAACGGTAGCAGCCATTTGTATCGCAGCCACTGGAAAACCAGTTGCACACATTGACTGGGAAGGTGATCTTGGTGAAATGGAATCCACTACAACTTCTTTTCCAAATGAAACGGCAACAATTGTCAGTCAGTATAAGCTGTTTCCAACCAGATTTGCTAGAGGAAGGCGAATTACTTGTGTTGTAAAACATCCAGCCTTGGAAAAGGACATCCGATATTCTTTCATATTAGATATACAGTGTAAGTAAACGATAACATCTGCTTTTGAAACATATCATGCATTTTATTTTAATTTTCTTCCTTTCATAATTCTATGTCAGACTTTTTAATTTGAATATTTAGTATTCAGATATTCTTACAGCTTTTCCTTGTTGACCTTTTCTTTCTTAATTTTTAAAAATATTTTCATGGAAATTTCATTTAACCAGAACATTTTTTATTAGTTTGTAAAGATGGAGAGTGCCAACTTAAAATTATTTAATCTTATCCTTTTTAGACTGGACTTAAGCAAATTATGGAAATATTTATACCTCAAAATGTGCAATACTTTGAGACAAACTTCTCTAATCCAATTAATATAGCTGTTACTCAGTTTTATTGATACTACCCATGATGTTTTCAGCAAAAATCTTTCACTGCCTAGATGCATTTTAATTAGAGTGAAAACCCATGTTTTTTATTATTGTTTCTCATCTGATTTTGATCATGTTATAGAGTAAGACAGTATGTTAAAGATATCATTGGGATCATAACCATTGTAGATAAGTTCAAAGCTTGGCCCGTCTTGTATTTTTTTTTTTTTGGTTAAGGGATGCTCCCTTGTGTGTGAAGTTTGTATATGTATATATGTATGTGTGTGTACTTTTTCCTGTACATTTTCTCAGTTGTTGATATGTTCTTTATGTAGCACTTAAAAATTTTGAGAAGAAAAAGTGGTAATGCAGCTAGCTTATAACAAGGATAATGAAAATGAATAGGTGGTGTTACAGTTTTCATTCTTAGTGTTTTCTTTTGATATGACATGCATGGATTTTTAAATTGCACATATTCATTGCACTTGGTGTAATGATTTCTAAAGCTAATTCTGAGAATCTTTTTCAACATTTATAGGGTTGAACTTGGGAACTTAATCTTATGTGAATGTTATTACCATTTTATTCTGGAGTGCAGATACCTTCTTTTCACTTCTTTGGAGAATCCAATTAAAATTTCTCTTTTTCCTTTTCCTACCTTACTTTCACAGACTTAACTTTTTCCTTTTTCTTGTAAAATTCAGATCTCAATTGTAAGTACTATTAATATTTTCCTCATATATATTTTGTCCTTCCTTGTATTTAGTAATGACTGACATTTTCTTCAATTTGTATTATGTATGTTATTCTTTTTTGGTTGGTGTTTGCTTGAATGCAATCCTAAATATATAAAAATATTTCTTTTAATGTAAGACATATAATTATGGCTTAGATTTATTGACTTGTTCTTTAAATGTTAGAATACTCATGACTTTTTTTCTTTAATTGGCACCTATAAAACATGTGAACAAAGTTTAAAGAGATAAAATCTTATATCCAAAATTCATATCAAAATTTGGAGGTATTCTTTGGGAATACCTTACTTAGTACTTATTCCTTCCTCTTAGTAAAAGAAGGTAAACACACAGGTATCTGTACTGTTCTTTCAGTAACATTTTATGGTACCAATTTTAAGTTATAAAAATGATTGTTAATTTTTGCATTTATGAGGCAGGCATTTCTTTCTTAAAATTACTGAGGTAGTTAATTGTTCCTTAGTAAAAGTTTAATTTGTTACCACTGTTTTGTAAACCTTGCTTGACAGTAGATCAAGCTTCCCTGCCAGAATTAAACTGATCTGGTCCCTCTGTAACTTCCCACCTGGTCATGTACTATTTATCTAGTTTACTGTATAACTCACAGCAGGGCCCCTGTACCATGCATAAAGTGACATTCCCTTAGGAAGCCTTTCATGACCTTCCTCAGCCCCATCCCCAATCTAAATTAGGCCCTTCTTATCTTCTCTGTATCATCCTGTTCTTTTCTTTCTTGGCTCTCGTAATAGGTTTTTATCACATACTTTTAAATTATTCCCTTCCTTATTAAAAGCTATTAGAAAATACGTTTTATGAATACAGAGTCTATATGTATACCAAATGCCTACAATAGTGCCTGCCACTTATTAGGAGTTAGACAATATGATGGTTGAATGAATGGTTAGTATTAGATTGTGTAGTTGGAAGGCATAAATTTGTATTGCTAGTAGGTATGGATAATTGCTCATTTAACTAATTATGCTATGTTGCACATATACCAAAGGATGTTTGGGTGCAATGGATAAAATTTCATGTTTTAGAACAGTTGAGGCCATAGATAATGTACTTTAGTTTTAATTTTAGCCTTAGAAAGTTTATGTCACATTCCATCTCTACTTACCCGTAGAATATTAATTATAATACAGAGAGTCTAATCTCTGTAATTGATTTTGTATCTCTTAGGGGATATTTTCTTTCAGATTAAACATTTTTTAAGGCAGTTTTATATGGCGACTTGGTATTTAAATGCCACGTCTCATCCAAGTAAGCGGTGTAATGTATTTCCTTTGTTTATATATCTGTGTTTCTCATAATAGAACTCTTATATTTTGTTCTTGGTGATTATAGGTTTGTGAATATTGTTACATTCAGTGCCCATAATAACTAGAACTGTACATGCTTACAGCTGCCTAGGGTTTGGGTACTCATTGTACATTCGTGCGGTTTCAGTCAACTAATATATTAACTACTGTTTTCTTTCTTCTATTTCTTTCTTCTATTATCTTAATGCTTTGTCATTATATATTGCATTTATCACTAACAAAAGATAATTTGTCCTGTTATGCATTTATTTTATAGATGCTCCTGAGGTTTCAGTAACAGGCTATGATGGGAATTGGTTTGTAGGAAGAAAAGGTGTTAATCTCAAGTGTAATGCTGATGCAAATCCACCACCCTTCAAATCTGTGTGGAGCAGGTAATAATGTCAGATACTTCTAAAGAGAAGTTATATAAAGTGAAAAGTATTCTTAAATGCATAATTAATTTTTTTTTAATCTGTGTAATACATGATCATAGTAACAGTTGAAAATTAAATTAAGCATTTCTGAGTGTTCTCCTGTCCCACCTCTCCCCTACCTTTCTATCCCTGCAGTTCTGTTTCTCAGAGGCTCCTTTTTAGCAGTTCCTTCTGGTAGTTACCATCATAGGTCTTAAATTGCTACTTCTTAATACTATTTATTGACTGTTGTGGCAGATGAAAATTTAATTTTATATCTACCCCTTCACACAACAAACATACCCATACACATATTCCTACCTTTATGAGTCCCAGTGAAATTCAGCTACTTTTAGTTAAACTCTGTAGTCATCGTTTGCCTCCCTATGACAAGTAAATACTATTTACTGAGAACTAAGTAGTATACTGGAATTCTGTTTTCTTTTGTCTAAGATCTTTGTTTTCCCTGAGGCTAAGAATTCTTAGCCTCAAAGAATATCCTTAATTCTCTTTATCTGGGAAATTTCAAACTGTTATACTAAGATTTTCACTCATTTTTGTCAGTATTTAGGGCCCCCCTTTAGTCTTGAGACTTGTATCTGTCAACTGTGTATAATTTTCTCATCTTTTTGGTCATTTCCCTCTTTTTTTTTTTTTTTTTTTTTTTTTTTTTTTTTTTTTTTTTTTTTTTTTTTTTTTTTTTTTTGGTTTATCAGACCTATTTTTTGTATACTAAATATCCTTTCTTATTTTTCAAACAATTTTTTGTTTCTCCTAGATTTCCTTGATTTTTTTTTTCCCTAACTGACTTATTGATTTAAAACATTTTGGGGGTGTATTTAATTTCTAAGAGCATTTTCTTATTTCCCTGTTCTTTTCATAGCATTTTTTTCTTATTTTATGGATATAATGTCTTTTTGTTTTTTCCCAAGAATACAGTACTAATGTTATTTCCTCAGAGAGTTTTTTTCTGCTTCAAGTTCTTTTGTTTTTTGTTTGGTCTTTCATTTTGTAGATATTCCTTAATTTTCTCAGTTGTCCAGTCGTTTCACAGTGATGTATTAAAATAAAATGCTGAGTGGAAACTCTGTCTTTAGAGTGGGAATTACTCATTAGTAGATTCCATTTAGAGTGATCAGGTAGAGAGGATTCTTTGCCTGGAGAAGCTTCAGATGTCACTTAGGAAGAGTGAAAGTCTTTTTTTTCATGGCCATTCAGTTTTTTTTTTTTTTATTGAGTATATATTAATTCATTCTTCTTTCTTTTTTTTTTTTTAATTCATTCTTATTTCTAAATCAAAAGTGTCTAGTATCTGTACAGAGTTGAGAGGAGTCCATTATTTTTTTTCAACTTTCAACTAATCTCATTAATTCTTAGCCCTCTGCTTCACTCTGGCTTTCTGTAGTACAGTGAGTCAAACTCCAAATCTTGGGTTCTTTGGAGCACATTGGCTGTCTTCCCATTCATATGCCTTCTGGAAGCACTTCTTCAGCCCAGAGTGGAGTTTTTCAGCCTTGGAACTATTGACATTTGGGGCTGGATAAATCTTTGTTGTGGGAAGCAGTCCTGTGAATTGCAGTATGTTTAGCAGCATCCCTGGCCTCAAACCATGCCCCCCCTCCCCCAACCCTGTAGTCTCCAGACATGCCAGTTGTCCCCTGGAGATAAAAATCAATCTTGATTGAATAGCTTAAAGCATGTATTGTTTTTGCCATCTCTTTTCCATCTTCTGAAAGTTTGTTGAAACATCTTGTCTGATGACTTGTGTCTCCTGTTTTGTTTTTCTTTGTGGGTTTTTTAATAGCTTTCAATTCCTTTACCCTTGTTTTAGGTGGGATTTTGTGGGAGCAAGGAAACCGTATATTTGATACATCTGTTGTCTTTAAGCAAAGATACAGTTTTTAAAGTAGAGAAGGTTTTTTTCATTTACATTTTCCTAAAAGTGAGAAACAGTCTTTGGTTAAGATGTGTGATAGGTTATTTTTAAAAGTTATACAATTCTGAGTTCCATTCCTAGATGTCTTTTTGAGTATGATGCCTAATCTCTCTAATTTTGTTTCCTCACTGATAAAAGTATGTCATAGAGTTGTGAGAGTAGAGACAATGAATATAAACGAAGTAGCATAAGTGAAATAGCATAGAAAGTGCTTAGCATGTCATTTGCTGTGAGTTTAATGTGATATTTAGATTTTTGTGACTATGGCTTATTTGAATAAGCAACTTTAAAGGATTATAAGCCATTTTTCTATTTCTCAGAATTAAAGGGATTCGAATTTGGGCCTCAAAGTGCAGAGAGATAATTGATAAGATTTATACACTCCATATTCATTCTCACCCTCCTAGAAAATGTTCACCTTTTGAAAGCGTGTGCTTGTACTAGTGTTCTTTTCAAAGTCTTCTTAGAAGAAGGCTGGGTGTTTCTGTTTTTTAAGCCATGCAAGAATATTATCTTTTTTCTTCAGTGCTAAATTGAAGTTCCAGCACTGTAAAAGATTTTGATTGTTCTTTTATCTACTACCCTGGGATTTGAAGAACAAAATCATTCCTCTTATGGTCCAGTGTTGGTTTTGTTTCTTTCTACCTTTTTATTGTTGTTTTTTTTTTAATTCTTATTCCCTTTGTAATTAGTTGTTGGTCTTCTACTATATACTTAGATCATTGAAAGCAAGAACCTGATCTTATTTACTTGTGAATCTCAGCAGCACTAACAGAGTAGAGTATGATTAGTAGTAAGCTACTGGTAACTAAGTAGTGGATAGCCAAGTGAATGAATGAATGGACTTTTTGAAAATCTTAGTTCAAACCATAATACTTGAGTGCCTGGGTTTACTTGACTTTTTGTCCTCTTAAAAAAATTACTCATGGACTTTAGAAATAATTTCAAAATAAATTGGTGTATTTTTTGGTACCCTAAATTTGGCGATATGATGTATAACAGTATACTTAGTTCCATTGCAGTGAATGGCTTTAGAGTTGCAGTGGGATTTTATTCTTATTGTGGTTTATGCTAATGTATAACAGGATGTCTTAGAGCCAAATTAGTATAGACATCTATTTTTAAAAAGTTTTTATTGATGCCAAAATGGTGTCTTGGTTTTTACTGTCCCAGATGCCCACCTTAAAATTGAGATTATTTTATAAGAAGACCCTTTTTGATGCTTTAGAAACTAATCCTCTTTGGATGGGGCATAGTATAAATTTGCTCAGTATGAAATAATGCTGTTTAAATATGTTACAGAAGGTGCTAAAACATTACTATGTACTTAAATGAGTTGGCTTTCCATTAAGGAATTTATAGATATATCATGAATTGATGTATTCACTGAGAATTATTTGTAATTCCTTTGATACTGTATGTCTTCAAATAATACATTTTTCTAATTTTCCAATTTTCTGAATTTGAGTCTTAAAATCACATAATTTTTTCTCTCCTTCTTTCCCATTCTAATATGTTGGCCTACTTCCACTTCTGTCATTTAGTATTTTGAAAGAATGGTTATTTATTTACTTTTTTTTTCCTGAAAGAGTGGGTATTCTTCGTGGTTTTTTGTCTGTTCATTTTTATTGACAATTCACATCTTATATACTTTCATTTCATAGTGAATTTTACCTAAAGAATGCCAGTTCTTTTACTAATATCTCAAAAGTGTGGTATCTTATTTAAATAGCTGTCTGTGAATAAAGTCTGACGATACATAAAATAATTCCATGCTTTTTAAAATCTAGGTTAGATGGACAGTGGCCTGATGGTTTATTGGCTTCAGACAATACTCTTCATTTTGTCCATCCATTGACTTTCAATTATTCTGGTGTTTATGTCTGTAAAGTGACCAATTCCCTTGGTCAAAGGAGTGATCAAAAGGTCATCTACATTTCAGGTAAGTTACTATCTACTGGTGAAATGAGTTAATGAAATTATTCCTGTAACAGCAGTAATAATAACACTATGTTCTCATTGGCAATTTATATTTGCTAAGGTACAAATTCCTCAGTGTGAGGTTTTCCAAATAATCTAAAAGAGATATAATAAAGTAGCCCTGCCTGAAACACATATGTAAAGTGCCATTACTTAAAGAAGTGTCAAAGTGTCTATGCAATAAGCTTATATACATTTTAAGACCTTTGCATATAGTTAATTTTTCAGTTACATAGTATTAAGTATTCCTTTTATAGATAGTGTGTACCTTTGTAGGTTCTCTCATCTTTACACCGAGAGCATCTTTACACTGGGTTGGTTTGTTTATTTGTTTTTGGTTGTCACTCTCAACACAAGTGTCTCAAATAAAATGGGATATTGACTTTGATGACCTGGCTTATTAAAGAACATACTTTGTCACTCAATATGGAACTCTATCATATTGGAATACTGAGAGGTTAAGTAGGAATGCTATTGAAAATGTGCTAATGAAATAAAATTTAAGATGTTTCTTATTACCAGGCCTTAAGCAACTAAGAACTTAGATTTTTCACATCCCATTTATTTTACAAGGAACATTTCTGTTCATTTGACTGAATATATAAATTTGGATACTCACAAAATACTGTTAGAGCTAAAAATACATTTATTCATGGGTGTGGCTATAACAAATTATTAATGGAATGCTCAATTGTAAAAATTATATAAAATATTTCGAGCATCTCCTTATTGACTATAAGAATATAGCAATCTTCATGTCTAAAAAATGGAAAATTAAAGGAAAAAGGAAGAGAACCCTGAGAAAAGCAGGTTTGTATGGTAATTATGTAGTGGATATAGCTAAGGTTTTTATCTCTGTTCTGATCTAAAACTAAGTAAGTTAGATTTTTAGAGAAATTTTAAACTTACTTCAATGTTATATTCTCCATCTTTGATCCCTCAATCTAGGAACAATCCCTCATATTATTTTCTGTTAGCATTTCCCACAATTTTTAGTTTTATGCTTAACTTGTGTACTTATTATTCATCCTCACATTTAAGCATTTTGCATTTACTTCATTTACCATTGAATACTCAGCACTTAGCGCCTGGCACATGATAGGCATGATGCAAATATATTTTTGCATGAATCTCACAGGAAGCTTAGAGCTGTGTACATCCCTTGCTAGCCCTTTCTGCCAGCAGCAGTGCTTTGGTGGAAATCAGATTGAGATTAAATATTAGTTTATTAGTCTCCCTTTCTTTCCTTAAAGGTTTTTGTTTTTGTTTTTGTTTTTTTTAAAGGATCTTAATGTCACAGGGAATGTATATTTAAAACGTAGTTACCCGAGGAAGGCTTACTTTTTGTTTGTGTTTCTGTTGTATAGTTTGGTATGGGATATTATTTGTAAATCTCAGGCTCAGTGTATTATTATGTAATCATTTAAATATTGAGGCTCAATTTGGGCATTCTTATATATACTGATTCTGTTGATGATATCCTAAATTTATATCTTTTGGCATTGTGGGTCCATTTCCCAGTACTTTTGACTTACGTGTCCAACTACCTATTAAAGATCACTGACTCTTTGTAGAAATATAATAGGCATTTATGGCTTAACATTCAAAACTGAGGTCCTGATCTTCTGCCCCTTGCCCTCTTCCTCTAACAGTCTCCCTCCTTTCTTCTGTCATTGGTAACTCCATCCTTACATTTACTCAGGGTTTAATCCTTGATGCTTATTCTTTTTTTTTTATAAATATAATTTGTTGTCAAATTAGCGTACATACAACAGCCAGTGCTCATCCCAACAAGTGCCATCCTCAGTGCCCATCACCCACTTTCCCCTCTCCTCCAGCCCCACATCCACCCTTACTTTGTTCTGTGTATTTAAGAGTCTCTTGTGGTTTGCCTCCCTCCCTCTCTGTAACTGTTTTTTCCCCCTTCCCTTTCCCCATGATCTTCTGTTCAGTTTCTCAAGATCCACATATGAGTAAAAACATATAATATCTGTCCTTCTCTGACTGACTTATTTCACTCAGCATAATACCTTCCAGTTCCATGTGCGTTGCCACAAATGGCATGATTTCATTCTTTTTCATTGCGAAGTAGTATTCCATTGAATCTATAAACCATATCTTCTTTATGCATTCATCAGTTGATGGACATTTAGGCTCTTTCCATAATTTGACTATTGTTGATAGTGCTGCTATAAACATTGGGGTACATGTGCCCCTATGCATCAGCATACGGTAAATTCCTTGGGTAAATTCCTAGTAGTGCTATTGCTGGGCCATAGAGTAGCTCTTATTTTTAGTATTTTGAGGAACCTCCACACTGTTTTCCAGAGCAGCTGCACCAGTTTGCAGTCCCAACAGTGCAAGAGGATTCCTGTTTCTCCACATCCTCACCAGCACCTTGATGCTTATTCTTGATTTCAGTTGTTCTCTCATATCTCACCCAGTCCATCAACAGATCTTCCATTATGTCGTATGCAGAACCTTACTATGTCTCCACTTTTGTTGTGAGTATTCTGACCCAGGCCATCAGCAACCCTTACTTCACTATTTGTTTTTTTTTGTTTGTTTATTATTTTGAGAGAGACGGAGAGAGAAAGAATGTGTGTGTGTGGAGCAGGGGAGGAAGAGAGAGGGAGAGAGAATTCCAAGCAGGCTTTGTGCAGTCAGTATAGAGCCCAATGAAGGGCTTGCTCCCATGAACCCTGAGATCATGACCTGACCTGAAATCAAGAGTCAGATACTTAACCTACTGAGCCACCCAGGTGCCCCAACCCTTACTTCACAATTAAAACAGCCATTTATTCTTTCTACTTTTAATTTATCCTTAGAAGAGCAGCCAGAATGATCCTTACAAAGGGCATGTCAGATCATGTCATTTCTCTCCTGCAAACCTTTCATGGACTTCTCATTTTACCCTCAACTAAACCAAATCTTTCAATGACTATATTACAAGGGTCTGTACATGCTCTGGTCCTAGATTATCTCTCTGACTTCATATTTTATTATATCTCTTGCTCCCTTGGCCTTGTTGCTAGCTTCCTTGCTATTCTTTGACCATAACAGGCACATTGCTACCTCAAGAGTCTTTGACATGCTGTTGCTCTTGCTGGAAAGCTTTTTAGATATCCTTACACCTCTTTCCCTCACTTCCTTTAGGTCTTTGCTCAAGTATCACCTTCATAACTATATTTAAAACTGAAAATTGAAACTTTTTTCTCACCCCTTTACTACTTTCTGTCTCCTTCTCTGCCTTATTTTTCTCTACAGTATTTATTGCCACATAAATGTTCATATTTTATTTATATGCTGTTTTTACTTCTATTAGAACATAAGTCCTTTCATCTGTTTTAATCACTACTATATCCCCACCATCTGCAATAATTTTTGGCATATGATAGGTGTTTAGTCAACTTTTCTTGCATGAATGAAAATATTTGTTTGAGAAGAAAACCATCAGGAAAAAATTAAAACTCCAGAATGTGCTTTTTATGTATCTTTATTTTCTTTGACAAGGTAAAGAACATAACACTGGTGATAAACTGTGCACATTTTTTGATCATCCTCTTCTAAGTCTCATAAGAGGGGGAATAGAATATTGGGTAAATATGAAAAATCAGTTAATTATTGCTAAGTACTTCAGAAAGATAGCATTATAAGATGCTTTTCTTTAAGCCATCATCAAGAATTAGACTTTGCCTTTCTATCCAGAGTCTTTAATATTTAATACAGTATACTATGTTGAGTTTAGTTAATTTTGCTGAGAACTTCTTGGAGGATATTAAGTATCCTAGATATACTACTGCCTTTCCAAAATGACTAATAAAGCCTAGTAGACTTTTATCAGAATAAAAAGCCATAATTCACTAAGAGCAAACAATCAAGTTGTTGATCTTTTTTATTGTAAGTTACATAAATAAATCCTTTTCCCTCTAGGGAAAAAAAAATATTTACCTCAGTATTAAAATTGGTATTTTACAATTTCAGAAATGATTTTTTTAAATATTTATAAAAGGAACATATCTTATGACTGGAGACTAAAAGGTCTAGTCAGACCAGAGTAGAGTTAGCAACTCTGTTTGAGGGAAGTTGTAATTTTCCAATACAGTTCATCCACATTGCTAAGTGTAAGATTTTGGAAGATGTGATTGATCCAAGATTGCAATATTCAACTTCAGTTATTCCTCATGGAGGTACAGTGAATCTTTATACAGTACTAAATGACTGCTGGAAATTGTGTTTTTCTAGTTGTTTTTGGTGTGTGTTTTTCCCTGATACTTCTTACTTCTCTTTGAGACTAGAGGAGCAATTTTTTTTTTAACATACTTTATTGTCAGATTGGTTTCCATACAACACCCAGTGTTCATCCCAACAAGTGCCCTCCTCAATGCCCATCACCCACTTTCCCCTCTCACCTGCCCCCCATCAAACCTTAGTTTGTTCTCTGTATTTTAGAGTCTCTTAATGGTTTGCCTCCCTCTCTATTTGTAACTTTTTTTTCTCTTTCCTCTCCCCCATGGCCTTCTGTTAAGTTTCTCAAGGTCCACATACGAGTGAAAACGTATGGTATCTGTCTTTCTCTGAGTGACTTATTTCACTTAGTATAATACCGTCCAGTTCCATCCACGTTGTTGCGAATGGCCAGATTTCATTATTTCTCATTGCCAAGTAGTATTCCATTGCATATATAAACCATATCTTCTTTATCCATTTGTCAGTTGATAGACATTTAGGCTCTTTCCATAATTTGGCTATTCTTGAAAGTGCTGCTATAAACATTGGGGTACATGTGCACCTGTGCACCAGCACTCCTGTATCCCTTGGGTAAATTGCTAGTAGTGCTATTGCTGGGTCATAGGGTAGTTCTATTTTTAATTTTTTGAGGAACCTCCATATTGTTTTCCAGAGCGGCTGCACCAGTTTGCATTCCCACCAACAGTGCAAGAGGGTTCCCGTTTCCCCACA